TGAGAAACTACGTTATTATTTTTTCGCGGTTATTAAAAAAGTTCACGCATCAAATGTCTGTCCGTCTGTTTTTTTCAATTAATTTTTTGAAGGCTCCATAAATCTCGGGAATCCAAATCTTAAATAATTCCATTAGATAGCTTTTAAGAATTTAGCTGACTAAAATCAGTAAAATCGGTCAATAAGAATCGGAGATATGGTCAAAACAAATATGATCAACAAATATATATTATGGGCTTTTTGATTTAGGGATGTAAAATAGTATATTTGCGTAAAAATCAAAAAGTCAAGAGATATAGGCAGTGATGAGTCGCGATATGACAAAAGTATACTTTTCGGTAAAAAAAATAACCATATATATAATAAATTTTAAATTTGAAAATAATAAAAATAAACATTTTAATAAAATTTGGTTTATATTAGAAATTGGGGTCGGTGCGTGATGTTTTTGATTCAAATTGACCTAAAAAAAAATTATTTTCATTACTTGTACAACATTGGCAATCATGTGGTGGTATGTCAAAAATTTCGCCAAATTAGTTATTTCCCTAATGTATATATTATATATATATATATATATATATTAATAAAACAGAAGATTTATATACTATTAAAATTTTTTAAAATTTCGCACAAAATTTATTTTCATTTTGTTTACTTTATTTTGCTTTTGCATTACATTTCGTCAGAAATGTGCCATGTGGTTATTTTAAGCACTACATGTGGCTATCAAAGTGACATTTTTAAAAGCATTTAATTTATTTAGAATTTATTTTCATAAACTTCATGCGAAAATTTATCAAATGTAAAATACTGATTAGAAATGGTGAAATGTAGTGAACGTTTAGACAAAATATCGACCACTTTATTTACCAGAGGTAACTAGTTAGTTGGATATGAGGTAATATAACTAGTGAAAGGTGCAAATTGGCACTTTTCGTAGTGTAGGGTATCTATTATTTTATTGGTGTTAAAACACTCAAACAAAGTCACAAAAATATTGAAAATTCCATTGAAATATTCTTACTGATTTTGATGAACGTATGAGGGAAAAATTATTAATGAGAATGATATACTCAAATCCGTAACTGCCGGTCCACACTAGGAAACTATTTTTGGGAAACTTTTGATTTTGCGTGATAGAGAAAGAAATATTATTCATCTCTCTCGCGGTACGGAGTTTCTCGTACTCGGAAACTCGTTTTGTTTTGTTATTTATTTTTTTTTTTTAATCTAAAAATTTAAATGGCGCCGCATAAAGCAAGCATAGTGCCAGGGTAACAATCCAAGAAGTCTTGTCCAAGAAATACCGAAACGAACTATAGCTTTGTATAGGAAGCCAGATCGCTCAGACTTAGTTCCAATGAGTTTTTTATGGTTCTCCACCATGTATCAAAGTAAAAGTTTGGTTATAAATCCGACGCCACACACTAAACCAATGCGGTAGTGAAACGTAAAACTCTCGAAGGTAGAGCAAAAAGGACGGCCTGATTACCCTTAAGAGATAATGGCAATGATGCACGACGATCTTTCTTCACCCAGAGCTGAATTATGAATGTTTTGTTATTTTTCTCATTTGTACAAAAACAAATCAATGTAATTAACAAGTAGTTTCTGAAACAAAAGTTTCTATCAGGGATGGAAAATGAGATTTTGTTTCAGTATCAAAAAATATTTCTGAGGGTACTTTTTTGGATCTCAGAGTACTAAAATATATATTTTTTTACTTAAGGTTAGTAATTTCTTAAATACATTTACATTTATACCCCATTTACACATACACGAAATCTAGTACTTATGAGATTTCAAGCCAAATCTTGTTGATTTAAACTAGATTTCCCATACAAAACAAAATCTACTTCGTAACAAGTTTTCGTTAAAATCTACTCAAAATCTAATAGTTTTTTGTGATGCAACTCTGTTTTTTCCTAAATAATACTAAAAAATACGACGCTACACAAGAAAAACGAGAAAAAACAAAACAAACCAAATAGAATTAAAATGTCAACATAATTTTAATAAATTGAAAAACTTGATGAAAAGTTTATTTAAAATAGAAGGAAATGTTATATTTAAATATCAAATTTTTTATTATAAATAAAATGTTAATAAATATCCTATTTTTCCTTCTTATTTTTCATATCAAATACAATTTCATGAAATATTAGAAAAAATGAAATCTACTAGATTTCGTGTATGTGTAAATGGGGTATTAGACATTTTTAAACAATCAACAACGGATGTAGAAAGGGCATTATACATACATATGTTTATATGATGAATCTCTCTCTCAATGTTAACCTTTTAGACATAATTTGATGAAATTTCTTGTCCAGGAAATGGGTACATGGTATCACTTAGCAACCATAAAAATATTACCCCGATATTGTACTTTTTAAATATTATGTTAAATTTAAAGCAGTCATGATACAATTTGTTATAATTTAATAAATACTGTCTTAATGAAATTCAGGTCACATTTGGGTCTACACAAGGATAAATTTAGAAACTTTACGCTAATAATTGAGCTACAAGTATTAGTAACGATAGTTTATTGCCAATAAAGCTCTTATATGTGTGTTATTAAATTACAATCCGATGTACATAGAGGAGTTCATTTGTTAAAAAATCAATTGTCCAACAGACCATACATAGGATATTTACTCGTACATCCGATTCTGAATATGACATGAAACAATAATTTGCTTTAAAGTCTAAATATTTTTGACCATAAAAAAATTCGAAATTCTATTTCGAAATGCGCTGCATTAGTAATTTGCTTTACATTGAAAACTAGATTGCTTTACTTTTAAAACTAGATTTCTTTAATTCCGGTAACATTGCAGATAATTCCATTACTCTATAATTTTATTGGCCGTTTTTTCTCGAACTTTTAGTTGATGCATTTTTGATAATTATATGTAAATATGTTCCAAAACACTTTTAGAGCGGGTTTTTGAGATTTTAATCAAATGCCAATTAATAATCAGATTTGTTAATCTAAAAATATATATAAACTTATGTTAATCCCCTTTGATGTTTTTGAGTACAAGATTAAACTTCGCAGTGTTGCCATACAAAACAACAGAAAACGTCACTGTTTGTTATCAAAACAATGCATATTTTATAAAAAAGAAAAAGACAATTATAAATTTAATATGAAAATAATGAAAACTTAAATTAAAAATAAAAAAATGTATTTTGAAGTGTCCATAATTTATACTGAACAATAAATAGAACATTTTAATGTTTATATTTATAAAAATTGTATTAATTTTTTTGCATCAGCTGTTTACACTTTTGCATTTCGTACTTTAGTTTAAACTACCTCCATTGGGCGCTTAAACTTGCAAACAAAATTAACTAACTGAGTACTCAAAAACATCTTTCGAGGATTAATTTTAATTTAATCGCTAATCTTTCACTTAAAAATTGGCCCTTAGAATATAAAATTTGAATACAAGAAGATACTTTGAGAGTATCAAATAAGACTCGGGAGTATGTGTGGACATTAAGGAAACTTTAAAAGAGAATTAAGAAAAATTTTCTCAACTAAAGTTTCTGTGTGTGGACCGGCACTAAGTTTGTAATTGTAGAATAAAATGTCAATAATTTTTTGAAATTTATTTTTTAAAAGGAGTTATACAAAAATTCCTGGTAAAAACAAAAAGAACTGGTAAAAAGTGGGTTAGGAAGTCCAAAATTGTATATTATATTTGTTTTCTGAACTGATTGTTAGGTTCCCAATAAAGATGCAATACTCATTATCAAATAAAAATTAAAATAATGAACCACCAGTCATAGACCCTTAAAAAAATATATGTTTCAATCCCAGAGCAAACACATGTATTAAAATAGTAAATCGCAAAAAGTTTTAAATAATCAGGTATGTGACGAAAATCAACCGAATTGAAAATTAAATCGTATTTTGAAATCGACAATAGTGTTATGAATTTCGATCGATTTCATATTCCATTTTTGTTCCATTTCTACATTTTTTTCGTCATAAAAGCTACTTTGGTGAAAAAGCAAATTGATATTTTTTTAACGTTAATTGGTATTGTAAATTAAATTTAAATAAAATGGCTTTGATTGCAGCAATTTCTGTAATTCTTTTTGGAAAAAAAAATTAAATGAAAAAAGAAAATATAAGACGCAAATCTTTAAGGGACAAATCAAATCCTTTAAGTTTACCAGATAAAATGCAAGTATTTCATGTTTTATATTTTACTTTTTATATTTTAAATCTAATTTTTAAAGATTCATTGAACATTTTCGCTTGAATAGAAAGGGGCAATGATTGTAAGTATTAATAAAAAATAGATCTTAGCATTATTTATTCATAATTAAGATTTGTGATTACAAGATGGATATTAAAGCCGTTGATGCAACTCGACCTGGAAGTAGTCATGATTCATTTATTTTCAGTATGAGCACAGCATGAAACTTTTTAATTACATCATATGAAAATGGAGAACGCGGTTCGTGGTTGTTAGCTGATTCAGGTTACCTACTTGAACTATTTGTTATGACACCCTACAGGAATCCAAGAACTATTAGTCAACAAAGGTTTAATAAAAGATATACTTCTGAGAGAAACGTGGTCGAAAGGACAATTGGAGTACTGAAAAGTCGATTTAGGTGTTTGTCTAGAACACTTTGGTATTCACCTTTAAAAACTGTACAAAGTATAAATATTTGTTGAGCTTTGCACAACTTGTGTAATACCCTTAAAATTCAGCATCCCATTGAAGATTTGGAAGAACATTTAGATGATGGAATGGACGAACAAGATGAAAGCTATGAGACTGATAACACTTTATCTAGCTCCGCAAATATAATACGCGATAATATTGCTGAGAGTTTAATTTAAACAATGGAAATAAATTTAATATATTAATTGAATGTATTAATAATATTTATTAAAAATTGAAATACTTAAGTTTAATTACATTTCTATTTTTTTTTTTGTAATTAAGAAGCTCTGATTCTAACTGTTTTTCTTTTATTTCCAAGTCTTTCTTTTTATGATTATTTTTTTCAAGAGTAGCTATTTCTATTTCTTTATTATGTCTTTTAATTTAATTTGTTATACATATTTATTGTTAAATTGTCTATAGATTTGTACACTCGTCTTATATTGCTTCCTATTACATCCAATTTATCATCACTTCTTTTGCATACTTCAATAAACATTTTAAAAGAATCAGGGAGCTCTTTTCCATTTTTTACATCATCTTGAATATATCCTTTAATGCTTTCTTTTATATCTTCACCATTTCATTTTATATACCCGTTTAGATGTACTAGGTTTTTCACATGTAAAGTCATCTTCCCCTTTATATTTGTCCGGTCTATTTATTGTATTATTTATTGTACTAATCTCTTCATCAGATGACAATACCCTATTATTGATATGGAGTTCTCCATCAGCTAAAGAGTACAGTCCACAAAGCTGGCCTATTAGATATATATATTTGGTTAAGTGGACCCCCTCCTGTTGCTGGTTCCTGGTTGAAATTTTTTATTAGTGCAAGCTTTCCAATCTCGACATACTTAGTAACATATAAAAGGACATTTTATGAAGCAATTTTTATGCATAACAACTTCTTACTTACTTTCTTCCAGCCATTTGTATCATGAATTGAGAGCCCAAAGCTATTCTAATCGGTAGTCAAATCAATCACCAATTTTCAACGTCTAACTTCAATAAATTGTTTTAATGCGTCCTCCTGTAGAGAATTCTTATGTTTTACCCTAAATGTTTGCAAAAAATATTTCATTTTTCCTTATAAAACAAAACTTACTTACATTTTTATAATTTTCGTTGAAGTAAAAACGAATTAAAATCGACATTGTTGATTTAAATCACATGGGTAAATTATATTTTTTAATAGGACAAAATGGAATATGAAATTGATATAACAATTCGACGAATGTTAACACATCACATCTATTATTGATTTCAAGACGATTTGATGTCTAAATCGAATTTTATCATATACCTGAATATAGGAAATGAAATACATATATAGGTTGAACGCTATTCATTCCTGTAATATTTCATAGGTTGTGATTATATAACATACGCGTATTAGTAAATGTCTATGAAATTTGTATGAAAAAAAATACACAGGGCAAAATATTTTTAGTCCTGAGATCAAGGCACACTATTCTTAAGGATTGAATTTCGATTAATAAAGGTGAGACAAACATGACACAAAAACCTGATGTGATAGAAAAATTCTAATGGTAGATTCGAATCCTTCCTTTCGACTTTTTTCTTGACCTGTGTTATTAAAAAATCGGATTAAAATTCGAATGTTCCTCTAGAATTCTATCTAAAATCTGAATAGTGAGGAAACTTTGTGTATCCGGAAAAGTCTATAAAATCACTCTGAAATATGAGTTCAAAAAATAAAAATAAAAATAAAATGTTCCGATCAATGTTATTGTAGCTTCTCAAAATTCCGAATTATGTAGATAGTTCACAAAAAAAAATTAAAATTTTAAAATTATTGATTTTATTTAAAATTGATTCTGTTTATCTTTTAAAAACCAGAATCGTATTTTAAGAAGAAAAAATATTAATTACATACAAATTTCAATTCCACTTAAAAAACTGAAAGAGGTTTCATTGCGAAAGAATTTTTGGTTTTCTTTTTCTTTCTATTTTCCAACAAAATTTCTAAATTAAAATTTTTCAACTTTTAAATAATAAATCCCAAATTGATTACAATAAAATTAAGAATGATTGACCTGTTATGTAAAAAAGCGGTATTATTTATTAAAAAGCCGGATTGATATCTAAGTCGGGATCAAACATTAAAAAGAGGAATAATCCCGCTTTTTAAAGGTTTAGAAACATATTTTTTTAAAGGCCTATGGTTACGGTGACCTTATACAAAATACAGAACAGGAGAAAATACAATACACTAACCACCATTTTCTAAATCAGGTTACTTTTAACCGGGAAAATTGGTTTTGAGGCTTAAGCCAAATATGGACCGATCTCTATAAAATTTTGTGAATAGATTTATGTTTATATTATATTATATTTATTTGTGCTGGATTTCATCGCGATATTAGTGTTTATATGTGAATTTTGTATGGGAGCTAGGGTCAAATGAGGCCCGATCTTTATGAAATTTGGCAAGGTCTTCAAGGCTTGTATAAAACTTGTTTGAGCTTCTTTCCATTGAAATATAGATATATTTAACATAATTATTAGCTCTTTTCGGAGTGTTCTGTTGCATGGGGGCTAGGTGAAATAATAGACCGATTTTAACCATTTTCAATAGGCTTCGTCCTATTGAACAGTGTGTTACAAACATCAGCACAAACCTAATATACCCTTCCCACTAAAGTGGTGTATGGTATAAAAACTGTATTACCTACATTTGTGTCAGAATTTTTTAATATTTATGTATTTTTATGTAAAACTGGAAAAATGACGAAATACTGAACAAATACAGAACATTTTCAAGTTTCCTGGTAAAGAATAATTTATACAGAACAGGGCTCCAAATACAGTACCGTTCTGTATAATACAGAACGTCTGGTCAACGTACCTATGCACATTGGTTTAAAATTCGATTTTTCTGGCCAAAATGTAATTTTTTCATACTCTTTTTTCGCAAATTTTTTATGACATCCATAAAAAACACTTCAAATTATTAAAAAATTAATTTTGTTTTTAAAACCCGTTACTTCCTGCTACTCAACAGGTGCTCAAACATTGAACTTTTTAGTATTATTGAAAAATCTAGTGCACTTATTGTAACTTAAGTATTTAATTAAATGATTCTGTAGCTTACAAATAAAAAGATTTGAACAAAGTTTTTTATGAATTGTAAAACTAATGGTATGTATTTATTAAATGTAATATAATAAATTTCAAATAACAAACAGATATAGAAAAAAACTATCTTTTTTTTATTTTTATTTTTCGATAGACTAGCTATACCCAGTGTGCTTTGCTACCCTAAAAGGAATATGTATAAATAAATACCAGATTTATTATATGTTACATATGAAAGATGTCAAGCAAATTATTGCAAGTTCGCCAGTTTCTATCTATCGCCAATTTCTATCTATCTATAAAAAATTTGAATAATATAAGAGTTTCCAAGATGCACGAAATTTTGTATTTAATTCATATATGTTGTGCCAAGCCACCCATTGAAAGTCCGCCCGTTATGCTCTAAATGTTCACATGAATTTCAAAGTTCTCCATGTAAAATTTGAAGATTCTAGCTCTAATAGTTTCTCAGATATACGAATTTTTCTATTTGATTCATGTGGGGGCTTCAAGACCCCCCAGATGAAAGTCAGCTTTTTTTTCCTCCAAAATGTTCAGATGAATATTTAAGTTCTTCGTGCGAAATTTGAAGAATTTAGTTCCATTAGTTTTCCAGATAAACGAATTTTTGTATTTAATTAATATAGGAGGTGCCGCTCCCCTCATGGGTAGTCCGCCAATTTATTACCCAAAATGTTTAGACGGAGGTTAAAGTTTTTCGTGCAAAATTTGAAGATTCTAACTGTAATAGTTTCCAAGATAAACGTATTTTTGTATTTAATTTATATGGGAGGTGCCACGCCCCCTAATGATAGTCCTCCTACTTTTTGTCCAAAATAATTATATTGACACTAAAGTTCCTCCGACAAAATTTGAGGACTCTAACGTTCAAACATACAAACAAACATACATTCATCCTATATATATATAAAACAGACTGTTTGTTTGTTTGTGTGTTTGTTTGTTACGCTTTCACGGCAAAACTTCTGAACCGATTTACATGTAATTTGGACCGCTAATAGGTCTAGCCCCAAAAGGAACAATAGGCTATATAAGATCTTGATCGGATGCCACGCCCCTTTTTACGCCCACTTTTTGTAAAACTATTATTACACCAAATTTACAATCACAATATGCAAAAACTACTAAACCGATTTACCTGAAATTTTGCATACCGATAGTTATAAGTCTGAAAAAACTATAGGCTATATATAAGATAGTGATCCGATGCCACGCCCCTTTCTACGCCCACTTTTTATAAAATTTAAACCGATTTACTTGAAATTTTGCATACCGATAGTTATAAGTCTGAAAAAACTATAGGCTATATATAAGATAGTGATCCGATGCCACGCCCCTTTCTACGCTCACTTTTTATAAAATTATCCTTACCTAATTATTATCCTATAATTATATGAAAGAGAATGTCTGTTTGTTACGCTTTCACGGACAAACTACTGAACCGATTTACATGAAATTTAGAACACTAATAGTTCTATTCTAAAGTGATGATTTGACGTCACGATTCTTCTTATTCCCACTTTTTTCTATATAATTGTCATGCAAAATTTCCATTCGAGACTTACAGAAAACTACTGCACCGATTTACATGAAATTTGGTATACCAATAGGGCTAACCTCAGGATCTGGATTGGACAATTATTAAACCAAATTATTAAACCATATTTACGTTCAGGCATACAAAAATCTTCTGATCCGATTTTAATAAAAACTATTATAATGAATGTTGTGGAATGAACATTACGAAACATTACATCTTCAAAAGGTATAATATGTATTTAATAATAAATATATATGACACTCTTTTTACTCTTTCACTACATAACTACTAAACCGGTTTACATAAAATTCGGCATATTAATAGGTATAACCTCAGAAGTTAAAAAAGACTATATTATATTGATTGGATGCTACGCATCTAGGCTATATAAAAAATATGAACCGATTTTCAAGAAATTTGGCAACATACAGTGTATTTTTGGAATCAACTTTTTGATCTGGATTTTATGCTTCATGAAATTCAGCATGATAATAGTTCGTGGAAGGTTAGGTTAGTTTGAGGAAGAGAATATTTAATACATAAAATCCAAAAAAATACAAATATACCACTAATTTCAGGAATGTTGTGATCTTAATGAAATGCAATGACTTTTTTCCGTCTACTTTTTGTTACATTTATAATGCTAAAGATCATGATATATACATCTTATATTATATAAGAATTATTTTGTTAAATTTTTAATCAAAAATGTATTTTTATTTGAAAACTCTATAATGTTTAACTAACTTTACGATTACGTAAAATAAAAATCTGTAATCAATTTAATTTATTATCAAAAATCGATTTTCATCTAAAGCGTAAAATCGGTTGTAGATCCGTATATAATACTCCCATCACTTATATTTTCCACCGGAAAACTATTCTTATTTCAAAACCTGTAATCGGCTGTATATCCTCAAAAAATAACTATTTGAAAACAGAATCGGATGTAGTTTACTACGATCGAGAAAATAGCATATGAACATTTTTTATCAAAATTATATTGTTGTAGATCCATATATAAGACTCCCATCACTTATATTTTCCACCGGAAAACTATTTTTATTTCAAAACCTGTAATCTGCTGTGTATCAGAAAATAACTATTTTAAATCAGAATCGGATGTAGTTTCCTACGATCCTAAAATAGGGTAAATGATATATTCATATTACATTTTCACAAAAATTCGAATTTAAATCGGCTGTGGTTCCTTATATAACACTTAAATCTATCTAGAAAATCATTCTTATCTCCCCTTAAAATTTATATTTATATAACTATTTAAAAATTTACTTTAAATAACTCTCAATTCGAGAAAACAATAAAGATGCGTAATCACTAATATTTAAATCGAGATAACAATAAAAATCTGTGATCAGTTAAACATACGGTTGCCATTTTTTAAATGCAGCTCAAATCTAAAAAACCATGAAGATATGTATTTGACTACTCATTAGAGTGTCCCGAAAGACAGCACTTTTGCAAATCTTAT